TGAGGGGCTGAGGGGCTGCCAAGAAGGGGGGGAGCGTGCAGCACACGCAGAGACACGGCTCCGTGGTTTGGTGACGGGGAAGGCGAGCTACGCGAGGGTGGCTCAGAGGGGCAGAAGGACCAGGGAAACGCGTGGGGCACAGGAGCCGAGGTGCACAGGCCGAGGGGAAGAGTTCTAGGGAGCAGAGAGACCGAAAATGCATGAGAGAGGGAGGGAGGGACGGCTGACGTAACCAAAGCAGGGGGCCAAAAGCAAGCGGGGGTCCAAAGAGAGGGGAGGCGTTGGCGAGGAGGACCTTCGTCGCCAAGCCACGGATGTGGAGCGGAGGGGAGGGGGTCCCCGGGAGCTCTCGTGGGCAGGCCGCCCAGAAGTCTGAGGGCGCGGGCAGAGTAGGACACGGGGAAAGCGGAGCAGGGATGCAGTACACGCAGCGAGAAACGTGACACAGAGTCATCAAGGACCGGGGAGGGCTCCGGAGGTGCCGGGGACCTCCTGACGTTGGATGCCACACACGTGGGGGTCACTCGGCTTGGCCCCATGACTTTCTTTAAGCTGCACGAGGCAGGCAGGGAGGAAACGGACGCGAGAGGCAGAGAGAGGGTGGAATTCACTCTGGTCTGGGAGCTAGAACATGAGCCTAACGGAGGGTCGAGGGGCGGAGGCCGCCGAAGGGCTGGCGGGGAAGGCAGGGGGCTGAGGCCGGCAGGGCCTGCCTGGGGTGGTGGCCTTGGGCGTGAGCTGCTCAGCTCTCCCTGGAAGATAACCTGCCCTGGGAGCACAGCTGACTGACAGCCTCCAGTTGCCCTGGCACCTTTGGGGTTCACCCAGCATTTGCTCCAGGCCAGGCCGCTCCAGTGACGGCCGAGCGGGGTGTGGGTACAAGAAGCAGGCCATCCTCCCCCACCCGGGGCTCCTCTAACAGGAAGATGTCGCTCAGGGTCGCCTCGTGGCTGGGTTGAGACTTCTCTCTGATGTGTGTGTAGTCTGAGGCTCTTCCTGCCCGGTCTCCCTTCCTCCCTCTCACAGGTGTCAGAACGGCCAGCCTGGCGCTTGGCAGAGTCTCCCCGGCCCCTGCCTCCCTCTCACTTTGTGCTTCCCAGGCGCTTCCCCCAGTAAATCTCTTGCCGGGCTAATTCTGACTTGGCGCCTGCGCTTTTGGAAGTCCTGAACCGATGCACTTGGACTTGCTGTTATTAGCAGAGGGCCCAGTGACGGCAAGAGGTAGGCAGTGAGGTGACTGCAAAGTTGCAGAGGCTGAAGTTCATGTGGTTCTCCTTTGAAGTTATTACAGACGAACAGAGAGTTGCAAAAATAGCAGAGATTTCCCCCGACCCTTCACCCCGCTCCCTCTGGTAGAATCCCTCCTTACATAACTAAAACCGGGACACTGGCGTTGATATAATATTAACAAGTTCATAGGACTTTGTGTAGTCGGTTTCTCATTGCGCGTCTGTCCACTCTCAGGTCTACTGATCTCATCTTCACTGCAGAAAGTAGCAAGCAGTTCCCGCCCAAGTCGGCCAGCTCTACAACCACAGGCCGGTAAGGTGCACACACACAGCCGTGGGTGGAGGGACACATAGGAAATGACAGATGTCCACGGAGAGGAGAGCTCTTTATCCACCCGTCCATCCCTGTTTGCTAAGCTTTTCCTAAGCGTGAGGAACTGAGTCTACGGTATTAGGGTACTGATGCCAAAATAGTAAAAGCCGCAGCTACCACACCTCCGTTTGGGCTAAGATGCAATGAGGAACCAAGATATATAATCGTTTAGCGGGGCAAAGGACATCCGGACCTGTCCTGCGATCGCTTCCACACAGGCAGTAATTCCACCGGTTGCAACCTTATGCTCGGAGAGCGGCCCAGGATCATGCCTTTTTATGAGTCATTGTAAAGCTCCGAGTGCACTGACATATACTTCATAAATGCTAAATAATCACCGGTCGGTGAACCTAAAAGTATTGGATTCAGTATCTGAGGCATTAAATCCAAGCGATGCTGTTCTGGAAGCAAGGCAAACAAATACATGAACCACAAACCGAAGGAAGCCCACCGCCACCCCTGGCCAGCACCGGGCGTGGTCTGGGACGCTCTCTACAGGCGAGCGGTTCCCTCGTGACGGGACGCTTGTTAGTGTTATACCTGACGCGATGCGCACGATGCCTGGCATGTGATTTGGGGGGAGAGTTTTACATCTGACCCACGGCAGACAACAGGGACACCATGTTCCTAGAGCTCCAATTCCCTTTATCTGATGCCAGAAAATAATATCTGCTGACGCTCTGAGGAACAGCAAGTCACCCCACTGAGCAGTTAGACTGATCCTGGCAGGCAGGCTCTGCTGGAATACTGGGGGGCCCTGTTTGCATTTCAAAGCTAGGATTTAGCTTTCCTTTAAGATGCACCCCTCTTTAGGGGTGCCTCTGATTCCCAGAGGGTTTAGGTACACAACCTAGAAGGCCTGAAGTGCCGCAGAGCCTGCGTTGGCCACGGACGTGGACCACAGCACGGTCCGAATGCTTTCCCCACGCACAGTCCAGACTTCTAAGCGTGGCCTGGTGCCGCGTGACGTGGGGGTCCCCGGGCACGGCCCCTTCTCTCTAGGAGTCTGCCATCTTGGCTCCACAGACAACAGGGTTTATCTCCATCCGCATCACTTTAGTCACTGCAAGGCGATGACACCCTCGGGAGCAAAGCCCGACCCTCCATAGCAAAAGACTGACAGCAAAGCCTATTGCACACGAGAGGCGCTGACGGTGACGTCTCCGGGAGCCACACAGGCTGACAAGGTCATGCTTTGAATAGAGTCTACAGGAGCATCTACCCTTCAGTGGCTGCTTCCCAAAGGATTTTATTCCCCTTCAATTGCAGCCACGGGAGGGGAGCCGGGGAGCCCACGCGGGACACCTAGATCTGGCCGAGGAAGCGTTGAGTGCAGGACGGAGCCAAAGGGGAAGAGACGAAGCCAAGAAACCAAAGGTAAAACAGCCACCGGATGCCAACCCTGGAAATTCTACGAGCACAAGTGCTTCTGGCCAGTTTTTGCCTGGTCCAAACTGAGCTCGTCACATCTCACAGGACGGAATCTGCATACGGACAGAAGGACGCCTCCCCTGCGCAGGGCGGCAGCTCTCAGAGGGCACCGTGTGCCCAGCTGGCCTGGGGAGTGGGTTCGAAAGGGCCGGTTTCTGCTCTTCAGCCTCAGAGATGCTCACCGGGTGGTTATGGGAAGGGGTTTGGGAAGGTACATTTTACCAGGCACCGCCCATCACTCTTTCGAAGGCATATTGCTTTAAATCGACGTTTTCCCATCTTTATGTGAGCGCGATATTAGAGAGTTTGGGGAAATACCTTCAAAAATAATCCAGCACCCATTTCTCATTTTGCAGATAAAGAAACCGAGCTGTTAAGTGACTTTCTCAAGGCCGCTCAGCCAGTTATAAGCAGAAAGTTAGGCCCAGAAGCAAAGTTTAGTCCCAGTGCCTTTTACATTCGCTATACCGTTTGGTGAGGTAAATCTCCTCTCCTTCAAGTCCTGTTGGACATACACCACACAGGTAGAAACCAGAACACGTCTGAATTATTTTAGTCATTTTTAAATCCTTTGAAACAATTGGCGAGGGCTTCAATGATGCCAAAGCAAACATTAGAAAACCACGAGTTCAGAAAGAATTGGTACTCACCCTCGCTAAAAGTCAGTGGTGAAACAGGAGACAGCAGGGACTCGAGGCTGTCCTCCGAAAAACCAGTGTCTGGGCTCCCCCAGTCATTGCCTACGATAAAGCAAAAAGTCAACAGTTGCAAGAAATTGTATGTATTCCTGACGTTGCATCAAAAGAATAATAAACTCTTTCTACAAACTGTGCTGGAACCACATCAGATTGAATGTCATAATTATGCTTATCAACTTTAGGTCAATTCCTCACTTTATGTGGTTGTCGTTGATTTAAACCTAAAAGTTCTGGGTCTCAGCCAGTTCCAGAGGTGCCGTGACGAGGGCCATGGGAACATTAGCCCATAGTTGTTCGAGGAGCCCCCCGAGATGGGCTACAAGGCTCTGAGGACTTCTCACTCCCTTGTTTTATGGTTCCTCTCTTTATATAAGAAAGTAAAAACCGAGTAGGCCCTCATTTCAAACGAATGGGAAATCAGAGAAGTCATGGGAAGAGCGGGGACTCGATCTGCATGGTTTAAGCGGTTCTGTCCTCATTGACTGACTAGTTCATTCGTTTAAGGAATATTTATGAAGACCTTCTATATTCCAGGCAGCTGCTCTGCTCAGTGACATATTAAGTTTGGCCCAACGTGAAGCTGACTGGCTAGGAGGAGGCTATATACCCCATCACCAGTTACCCTAGTTCTTGAGTAGCAAGTCCATGGTCTAATAAGCTTGTGTTATAGAGGCAGGAGCAGTCAACTGGGAGTCAGTTCAAGTGCTGGGTGACTTTAGGCTAAAGGAGGCGTTCTCAACCTCAGCACTTGAGATTTGGGGCTAAATAATTCTCTGCTGTGGGAGTGGGGGGGGCGGGCACAATCCTGTGCATTGTAGGATGTTTAACAGCATCCCTGGCCTCTACCCACTAGATACCATTAGCATCCCCATACCCCCATATCTGTGGCAACCAAATATTTCTCCAGACATTGCCAAATGTCCCCCCTGTGAGGGCAGGGAGTAAAATGTTCCCAGTTGAGAACCACTGGGTTAGAGTAATATCTACATTTTGAGCACCCATTAGGGCAGGGGTGGGGAACGTCCAGCTCGTGGACCATAGAAATCATGTGGTCTGGCCCTGCCAAGGCAACCACAGGCGAGAGTTGAAATTCCATAAATCTAGGAGCTTTTCTCATAGCTAATTTTTAAGTTGAAAATTTTGTATGGCCTGCGAATGATGTTATAAATATCCAAATGGCCCTCAGCAGAAGAAAGGTTCCCCACGCCTGCATCAGGGCACCGTGCTGGGGTTTTATATACATCATCACATTCAGTCTTGACAGACAGCTTCCCAAAGTGGGCACTGTCATTGTCATTTTACACGTGGTGAAACTGAGGTCCACAGAGGGTAAGGAAACCACCCAACATTACACAACTGGTAACTGTTGGAGGAGATTCGAACTCAGGATTATTTAACTAGACTCATGTTCATTGTTTCCCATATTTCCTTTCGCTGTGACGTATTTTAAGCATTCAGAAAAGTACAGAGAATAATCCGATAAAGATCGATGTACTCAGCACCCCAATTTGACAAATGCTAATATTTTTGTCTTATCTGCTTTATATTCTTGGCAATAAAACGTCACAGATACACATGACTCTCCCTTTAAGACTCTTGCCCTCCTGTCTCTCTCACTTTCCTCCTTCAAACAAGCTCGTGCCATATTCTCCCTGGGAAAAATTCTATACTTTTCTTTCACGTATGCATGTTCACACACGATATACAACTGTCTGAAAAAATGCCCAGAAGGCGTACGCAACTCTTCTGCAATTTGCATTTTTTATTCAACATTATGTGAGTTTTTCTATGTTGAAACTGTAGTTCTAATTCTTTTATTTTAATGACTGTGTTGCAATAAATAGACCACAGCGTCCTGGACCATTCTCGGGACGTTCAGTTTGCCTCTGCTTTCACCACCCCGAGTGGCCCTGCCGGGGCGCGGCCGTGTCTGCAGGTGCGTGGGCATTTCTCCAGGATGTGCAGCTAGAGGGGGGATTGCTGGGTTGCAGGATATTAAATACTGCCAAATCAGTCTCCAAAGTGATTATAGTAAATTATACGCCCTCCAACAGATTGTGAGAGTTTTCATGTCTTCGCATCCCTCCCAATGCTCGGTATTTTCAAACCTTGCAATGTTTGCCAGTCTGATTGGGTGGAAACAGCATATAATTACTGCTTCAAAATCCTGTGTTCTCAACCACTGCACTTTCTGTCTACGAGCCTGGAAGCTTCAGTTATGTGAAATGAAGGGAATACCTTTGCCTGTGTCTTGGAGTGGCAACAAATTCTCCTGCTATAACGTGTGGATGTATTTGGTAAATATCAAGTGTCACTTTTGTACCCTGTTGGTGGTGGGAGAGGGTGTTTGTATAGTTTCTACAGCAGGCAATTTGACAAAGATCTATCAAAATTTCAAATGCGCATATATTTCCTTTTAACTTAAAAAATAATCTCAAAATTCTAGAGAAGTTATAAAAATAGTGAAAAGTATCCCTGAGGCCCATTGTTAGGATGTTACCACTGCATCACATTTGCATTAAGATTCTCAATCTCTCTCCCTCTCTTCCCTCCCCCTTCTCTCTCTGTATGTGTGTGTATGCATATGCACACACATATTATTTTTCCAATGACTTTACTTCTGAAAATTTTCTAAAAATAGAAGTTTTATTTAACCATAGAAAAGTTGCCAAAATCAGGAAATTAACATCAACAGAATATTATTATCTAATCTATATATCTTGTTAGAATGTGTCTGCTGTCCTACTAATGTCCTTCATAGTAAAAGAAAAATGTTTTTTCATCTCCTAGGGGCCAATCTAAAACCATCTGTTGCATCTCTCCTTTAGAGCCATTCACCCTGCATACCTAGAACTTATACCCACTGACTTCCAGCTCCTCGTTTCCCCCTCCCCGGCCCTTGGCCACCACCTTTACTCTCTGCTTCTACGAGTCTGACGCTTAGATTTCTCGCGAGTGGGATCACTCAGCATCGTCCTCCTGTGACTCGCTCACTATCCTTAGCATAACGTTCATCTCACATATGGCAGGATTTTCCCCCTTGTAAGGGATAAATATTCCATTGTATGTATTTACCACATTTTCTTTATCAGTCACCTGTCAACAGATGTATAAGTTGTTTCCACATCTTGACTATTGTGAACAGTGCTGCAATGAACACTGGAGTGCTAATACATTTCTGGAATCCCGAATTCACTTCTTTTGGATAAATATACCTAAAAGGAAGATTGCTACATCATACATGGTAGTTCCATTTTCAATTCTTTGAGGAGCCTCTACGTACGGCTTTCCATAGGGGCTGCACCATTTTGCATTCCCACCAGCAGTGCCCCAGGGTTCCAGTTTCTCCACATCTCCCCAACGCTTGTGGTCAAGCTATAATTCTGATCGTCACCAAATTTTAGAGCTAGAAGGGCCTTCAGAGATGATCTAACCCATGTCTCTTTTTTTCCAGATGAAGACGGAGATCAAAATGGCACTCGAGGAGACAGAGTGGTTGTCCAAGGTGGCATAGTCCAGCCGAGCAAATTTCACCCTAGAACCTCAGTGGCGGGATTGCTAGCTGTGGCAGATTATCAATGACCAGAAATTTCTTGTAGCTCCTCCCATCATGAGGATGACTCTATCTCTTCCTTGAAGGTCACGGAAGTGAGACTGTGTGAGACCTGAGCCTTGGCCTCGGGGGGCTCTGCAGCTTCTGGTTTTGCTCCCCTGGATGCGGCTGCCACATGAAAAGGCCTGGGCTGGCCTGTGGGAGTAAGACAGGCTGTGCGGAGTGGAGACGTAAGTCCCAGTGGAGGCCTCCTAGATCCACCAGTGGGCGAACTGCTGGACACCTGAGTGAGACACCCCTTCCAGCTCATCCAGGTCCAGCCAGGCCACCGGCAGACCACAGAATTCAATGAAGTTGGTCCAGAGCAGAAGATGCCCCGGCTGTCCAGTCCTCCCACGGAATCATGAGCTAAATAACACATGCTTGGTGTTTTAAGTCACTAGGTTTTGAAGTGGTGCTGTATATAGAAAAAACTGATAACAAACCCAGCGATGGCCTGTCTTCAATGAGACCACATTTAGCGTCCATCTCCAGGATGTCTGAGGTGACCAACCCTCCCCCTGGGTTGACTATCTTTCCCAGCCCACCTGTAGCCTGGTCGGTGTCCCTCTACTCCCAGGAACGCCCGTGCCTCTGCCTAGGATGCTATCAAGGTGGGGAGGGAAGACCCGTGCCCTACAGGGTCAGACCACAGCTTTGCAGCAAGAGCCAGAGATTGGCCCAGGGCCCCGGCAGCTGCCGGCTGCAGGGCCGCCTTGTCCCACCTCTTCCATCACAGACTCTAAGCTATTGCTAAATTATTTCTGTAAAAATAAAAGAGAGGGGGCTCAGCTGGCACTGGCTGGGAGGTGCTGAGAAAAAGGGGAAGAACATCCTATAAAAATGAGAGCCAGGGAGCAAATTTCTCGAGCCACATGACCTTAAGTTGTCACTTGCCATCCTCCCCTTTTACCTGCCTTCCCATTCCCAGTTCCAGAAATAAACGAAGGGTTTCTTGGTTCTCATTAAAGTTTACGCCTCACCATCCACCCCTCCGCCTGCCTTTCAACTTCAGGCATCTTTAACTTTTTTTCTTTCACAGCTCCCCTCACTGCCCTCATGTAGGTGCTTCTAGAAACACGAGGCTCCTGACAAAAGCCCCGAGGTTCTCCAAATCAGAATCTCAGAAAGTTCTGCCACCTCTGTTACTAGGAGGCCATGTGCACGTGGCAAAGGAAGAACCTGGCTTTGGAGACGAGGGTAGAATCCGTTGAGGACCCAGAAACCATGAGGCGGCAGAGGGGGCGGAACGGGCCGGGCCCAGCCTGGCTGCTGCTGAGTCTCCCCAGGGCTGGCTCCCTGGCTCCCAGCTTGGTGCCAGCACAGCGTTCAGAATCCACCGTCCCTGACCCACACAACGCTCTTTGGTGACGACCAGTGTCTTCACGGGACTCTTGGAATAAATGGAGGTGCTCTGACCATACGGGTTGGAGGAAAGCAGTCTGGGCCT